TTGTTCTCTTTCTCCACCTCTCACTAAAATTCTCAATCTCTCTCTCTCTCTCCTCTGGTATATTTCCATTGCCCTTCAAACATGCAACTGTAACCCCAATTCTAAAGAAGCCCAATCTTGACCCTAACTCCCCATCCAACTATAGTCCTATCTCGCTACTGCCTTTTGCATCCAAGATCCTTGAAAAAATTGTGTATGCGAGATTGACAGACTTCCTCGAGTCCAACTCTCTGCTAGACCAGCTTCAGTCTGGTTTCCGCGCTAAGCACTCTGTGGAAACGGCACTGACCAAAGTATCCAATGATCTACTCGCTGCAAAATCTCGTGGTCACTACTCTATCCTAATTCTCCTTGACCTGTCTACGGCTTTTGACACTGTCGATCATCAACAGTTTCTTCTCATCCTCCGCAATATCGGTCTACAAGATACTGCTCTCTCCTGGTGCTCCTCCTACCTCTCCCAGCGCTCTTTCAGTGTTTCTTTCTCTGGCTCTGCTTCTTCTCCCCAACTCCTCTCTGTTGGTGTCCCCCAAGGTTCAGTCCTTGGTCCCTACTGTTCTCCATCTATACTGCCTCCCTTGGTAAACTCATTAGCTCCTTTGGCTTCCAATATCATTTCTATGCAGATGACAAGCAAATCTACCTGTCCTCTCCTGATCTCTCCCCGTCCCTCTTGACTAGTGTCTCTGACTGCCTCTCTGCTGTTTCTAACTGGATGGCTACCCACTTCCTTAAACTAAATTTGACAAAAACTGAAATTCTGGTCTTTCCTCCCTCAAGTGTTGTTACTCCTGTGTCTGTCTCCCTCCAAGTCAACGGTGCTACCATCAGCTTCACCACACAGGCCCGCTGCCTAGGTGTTCTCTTTGACTCCGACCTCTCCTTCAAGCGTCATGTTCAATTTATCGCCAAATCCTGTCATTTCCATCTCAAAAACATTGCGCGCATCCGCCCCTACTTAACGCCAGATGCAACTAAGGTGTTGGTCCATTTCACTGTCCTTTCTCGACTTGACTACTGTAATCCGCTTCTCAGTGGTCTTACGTGCTCCCAACTAGCGCCGTTACAGTCCATAATGAATGCGGCAGCGAGACTCATCTTCCTGTCCGCCCGCACCTCCCATGCCTCACCCTTCTGTCAGTCCCTACATTGGCTTCCTATAAAATATAGAGCTCAATTTAAAATTCTGGTTCTTGCTTTCAAATCTCTACATAATGCTGCTCCCACCTATCTATCCTCCCTTATACAGAAGTATGTCCCGTCTAGGCCCTTACGATCTGCTGAAGACTTACGTCTATCTTCTGTCCATACTCCCACCTCTGATGCTCGCCTTCAAGATTTCTCAAGGGCTGCACCGTTCCTGTGGAACTCGCTTCCCTCCTCCGTTAGATGCTCACCCAGTCTCCACTCCTTCAAAAAAATCATTAAAAACGCACTTCTTCATAAAAGCATATCAATTAAACTGTTAATAGCTCCTGGATGTTTCCTCTTCTGCAACTGTCATTAGTCTAATACTATACTTACCTTTTTGTGTCATTTTACCCCACTCCCTCTAGCATGTAAGCTCATTGAGCAGGGCCCTCAACCCCTCTGTTCCTGTGTGTCCAACTTGTCTGGTTACAACTACATGTCTGTTCGTCCACCCATTGTAAAGCGCTGCGGAATTTGACGGCGCTCTATAAATATCATAATAATAATAATAATAATTAGTAATAAATTATCTGTACTTTTCTAATTAGCATTATGTTCTGTATTAGAGACAATTACTTTCTGTATATAGACAATGTAGATTATCTATACACTGACAGACGGGTAATATATAAAGGGATATAAAATGATGCTACGTTATTGTACCTATAATAAGGATAATGAACTCACTGCTTTGTACAAAAACACAGAGCTATTCTGAACATGCCGCAATATATAATTATGCACATTGCTATACGTTGCTAATTAACAAGCTGATATATAGTAGCAGCTGTGAATGGTATATCCATTCTTACATCCTTATTAAGCAGACAGCACCAATATAGATTTGCAGATGTTGGTATTTTTTCCAAGTGAGCTATGATTTCATTTTGTCTCCTTTATCCTAAAATTTGAAATTCAACATTATGGGGCACTCTCAGCACCATTAAAACTACATCATGTAAGCGTCAGCTTATGTTTTCAGCCAGCAAAGTCAGTCCAAACACAGATGGAATTGATCTGCTGAGAGGGACTGGAACAGGGGTAGTCGGAGGACCCGGGTAAGTGTCAAACAATCTGACAGTAACATTTATGGCGCCTAGAGTGAGCCTGTGAATCTCTAGGCACACTCCAGACACCAAAATGTTTTTCTATATGTAAATCTCTTAGTTTTGCTTAAAAAGGAAAATAGCTTTGCAGCACTGTGTAGCATAACGCTACAAACTTAGCCACACCCGCTCTTTTTTTACAAAGCAACTTCCTTATTAGAACACACTCTGAGTATGTACTCAGCTCATCCAATAAGAGGTCAGTATGAGCTGAGTTGCAGATATGATTGCCCACAACCAATCACTGTCCTCTAATTATTTTACCCCTTGGCATGAATTTGAAATGCCATCCAGAAGAGGACAGTGATTGGCTGTTTGTACATAGTCAAGTCAGCAGCTCAGTTTACACTGGTTTCTCATTGGCCGAGCTACACTGTGTATTTTCCAATCAGGAACATATTTTGTGAAAACGTGGCTATGTTGATGGGGTTATGCTACAGAAAGCTATAAAATGTTTTTTTAAATTACAGCTAAAGAGGATTGGACAGGGAGAAAAGCACAGAAAGAATGTTAGGCCAAAGCCAAATACACTTAAATCGTATTAGTGTTTAAGTAATCCTGAAAAAATGACCCTGTTAACTATAACAGAATACAACCTATCTAGAAACCAATAAGAGTTGATTTATTAAACTGAGAATTCTTCAATTCAGCTTTTTTTTTCATCACAACATTTTTGGTGTAAAATTTGATTTTTCCTTTGTATGTTTGAATGTGTCCATATCTGTCACTGTGTATCTGTGAGTGAGTGTGTTTCTGTTACTGTGTCTGTCACTGTGTCTGTGAATGGATATGTGTGTGTCTGCTAGTGTATCTCTGTGAGTGAATGTGTATCTGTTATTGAGTGTGTGTGTGTCTGTCAGTGAATGTGTGTGTCTGTCACTGTGTCTGTGAATGGATATGTGTGTGTCTGTTAGTGTATGTCTGTGAGTGAGTGCGTATCAGTTATTAAGTGTGTCTGTCAGTGAATGTGTGTGTCTGTTAGTGATTGTGTGTCACTGTATGTGTATCTGAGAGTGTGTGTCAGTGTGTTAGTCTTAAACAGCGAGAGGCAGGGCACAGACTGGGGAATGGGTGTGCCTGAGTTTTGTCATGCCTAGGCCAGTTCATATCCAAAATACACCACTGGGGCATTGTGTGCACCCTTCTCTACATACAAAGAACAAACATGTTTACTGCTCTATAAATTAATGATGACATTTGCAATTCTTTGATCAATTCCTGACAATTACCAGCCGAGATGGAAATTTTTATCTGAATTCATTGTAACTCGCTGTTTAGTGGAAAAATCTCTAAATAGTCTATTTCGAGGTAAAGCAATATGAACAGGACAAAAGGAAAACAAAAGGGATGAGAGAGATTGGGAGGAATAGAACACCAGAGAGAAGAGCAGCAGGTTTGATTCAACCTCTTAGGGAGACATTAGAAGAGAAGATAATGCTATCCGAACTCTGAGAGGTATTGATCTGAGAAAAAGCATCTGAGTTAATAGATAAAGAGGGTGGAGGGAAAGGGAGGAGAACTGGATTGCGGAGTCAGATAAAAAGAACAAGGGAGAAAAAAGTGGCAGAGCAAGAGAGCAGGAAGTACACAAGAAAAAGAGTAAATAATAATAAATATGAAATCTCTACCAAACATCACAGATTTGGTAGGACAGTTCCACTGTCCCGGTTTCTTATCTGGGGTTGCACTTCTGAGAAAACCAGAGACAACTGCCCAATAATGTGCAGTTCGTTAGTTGCCCTCCTGTTGTATAACCTGAACTCAGGACTTTCAATATATATGAAGAGCAACAGCTCTTTGCACATCGGCTAAAAGTGGGACTAGCCAGTGCAGCAGAAGTGTTTCACTGACCCACCACCTAACGTAGGGGTGCCCAAAAGGTAGATCCCCAGATGTTTTAAAACTACAGCTTCCATTATGCTTTTTCATTCTAAAGACAAGCAAAGCATCATGGGAGTTGTAGTTCTACAATATCTGGGGATCTACCTTTTGGGAACCCCTGACCTAGTGGCCCACACCACATTCGTTTTCCCCATTCATATATCCCAATGTATACTAGTGGTTCTAAATGTTTCTTGACAAAGACTAAAAATCTGTGCATGGCATTTGATGGGCAACTGCATTCTGCAATAATAAAATTAGTTCAGTAAATTAGTTCGCTCAATTGTAATATATTATGTACAAAAACTAATAATGCAATACATCTTAATGAGACTCTCTCCAGAGTAAGAAATATCTAAATTGAGCTGGGGAAGCAAAGCCATTACAGTAAACAGTCCATTGTGGGCGATCGCCTGAAGTCTAGAAAATAATATGCGCTTGTTCCAGCCAATAGGGATCTAATAAATTGTGATTGACAAAAGGACAGATATAAAAGGATGCACTGGAGTCAAAGGGGTTTTGAGTTAAGTAGAAAAGAGAGATAGACACAAATGCACTCACCTTTCAGAGGGGGCAAAGGGGTTAGCTCCTGCTGTTTGCTCTGGTAGCGGAATTGAGAAGAACTGTGTGACCTGCGCTGTCGGGAGCGACGGAGGGAACGTCTGGAGAATCCATCAACTTTGTCTGCTGCTAGGACTGGGGACAGACCCGGGGAGGATGGACTGGTCGGGGTGAGAGGAAGCTTGGTCTCCATTAGTACAAGATGGTACGAGCAAGGCCTTTCTGGTCTCTGTTAGTTGGCAGTATGGGACAATGGAAGCACACAGAGTCGGCCTAGTAATTCAGACCCAAGTGAGTACTTGTAAAACCAGGACTGGCCATGGCATTTGGTGATCCTGCAGTAAATATAATATCGGTGTTAATTTGTCAGCATCAGTTTTATTTTTAAAAACATTAAAAAATTATAAAGACCACTATAAAAAATTAAAAGACTATTAAAGAATATTAAAATTAAATAAACAAACTGTTCTAGAAATATTATACATTATTCAATTTCTGGCAAAAGTGTTTTCATGCATGTGTCCAACTGCTTCCTGTTTCAGTATAACCTTACTTCTGTATATATTATAGCAGTGCACATCACCATTAAAGGGTATCTGCATGCCCCAAACTACATATGTCAGGACACTATAGGATCAGGAACACAAACGTATTCCTGACCCTATAGTGTTAAAACCACCATCTAGCCCCCTTTGGCCTCCCTAAATATAGTAAAATCTTACTTGTATTCAAGTCTGCAGCTGCTGCCTCTCCCCTGATCTGCCTGCTTGGCTGACATAATAAGAAGTGATTCTCTGAGCCAATCACAATGCTTTCCCATACGATTGGCTGAGACTGTCAAGGAGACAGATCAGGAGCAGAGCCAGCATTTTCTCTGAAAAGACAATGTTTACTTTAGTTGTTCTGGTGAGTATAGTGTCCCTTTAAATGTAATCTATACATTGTATTAGCAGATTTGCTAGCAAGTGTATCGTTTAGGTCTTTCTCCTACTTGTCATTTAAATCTCCGGCATTGACTCTGATACCATAGATATGACGGACAGCAGAAAAAAAACTCCCAAATCATGGACAGATCAGTACCCCTTCTTGGTTTCCTATGGTAAACAGTAAATAGTGTGTTGTATGTCTTCTGTTCTATTGGCACAGACCTAGCTAATCCCTGGTTATTCTTTATTCTTTATTCCTTTGACCTTTTACTAGTTTACTCAGTTCATTCATTCTTTAATCCCTGGATATCAGTTTGTTCCTCACTACACTTACGTATATTTCATATTTTTCTTATCTAGTCTGTTATTACATTTATCCTGATTTTGTCTTCATATATACTGTTGTGTAATATTGTCATTAACATTACATGTTTGGGTCACAAGTAATACAGCTGAAAATGGGAATTCACAGCATTCAGGTTAAAGGAACACTGTAGGCACCCAGACCACTTCAGCTCATTGAAGTGGTCTGGGTGCAGTGTCCCTTTTGCACTTAGTGCTGAAATGTTAGACATAACATCCCATAGAAACTGTAATGTTTAGATTGCAGCTCTGTCTGTCCTCAGTGGCTGTCTACCAGATAACCACTAGAGGGCTTCCTGGATTGAAACAGACCTTAGGTCTGATATCTGAAGCTGGACGCCATCATGCTCTGCATGAGGACCTCCAACGTCAGATTTGTCCCCACAGGAAAGGATTGATTAATGCTTTCCTGAGTGGAAATCCTAATACGAACACTGCCATTTCCAGCCGGCATGGGGACGAGCCTGACCCAGCGCCAATGGACATCGGCACTGGTTTCAGGTAAGTGACTGAAGAGGTTTTAACATCTTCAGCGCAGCGGGAGGGAGGCACCTTACAAACCAATAGTGCCAGGAAAATGGCTTTGTTTTCCTGGCACCATAGAATCCCTTAAAGCAGAGTAGGCGCCTGCCCACAGACACCTGTCCTGTAGGGGGTGCCTATTTAGAGCACTTTTAATGTGCCTTCTTGGAGCTCAGGTGGGAGTGAGGGAAGAGAAGTACAGTGAGCCTTTGCCAGTAACAAAACTGCAGGAACAGCTATAGAGGGATGTATAGCTCAATGCTGTCCCAGCTCCTCCAGTGTCTGTGTGTGAGGCTGGACAGGGAATGGAAGGGATTGTTTTCCACCTGCCCACTAACAGCCTCACACACAGAAAGTGACTTGCAGGAGTTAGTTATAGGCTGGTGAGTACTTTGCAAATTAACCCTTCAAACTCCACATGACTGTACCCTTAACCCTCCCCCTTTTCCATTAGGCCCCTGTCAAAACCTAAACAAACTCTTTCTTTAGTCCCAAATCTGAGCAATCAAAGCCTAAACTTGAATCAAATAATTTACCTTAATCCACCCAGTTATCCTCATCTTAAAAATCATACACACCATGTACCCCAATACTAAATGTATTCCCACTTTAACCCTAAACCCAATAACCACATACCTAAAAACATTCTAATTTAACTCTATTACCTCCTCCCCCCCTTTACACTAACTACTTCTAACATTATATTTAACACTGCATGGATTTACACAGGTATATACACTGACTATACTTACAGATTATAAATAGTGGTTTTAACACTAAAGTGTCAGGAATCTTTAAGCCTTTTTTAAAATACAGATTTACTATTTTATTAGTAAGTCACCCCCTTGCCCACACCCCCACTCACACCCCTAAAATTAAAGTGTTCCTCTTTGTTCATTTGAAATGTTGGAAAAGTTTGAAGTTGCAAATTAAAAATCGAATGCAGTGATTAAGTGTTTAGCGAGCAACTAACTATAAAGATGTCATTGCAAATCAATATGCTGATCAATGTTGTAGCAGCAAAAAGAAAAATACAGAGAAAATGACATATTATGTTCTCCTTCTTCATAGTCTTCCAGAAAAAGGGTAGACAACCTTTGGCACTCCAGATGTTGTGGACTACACCTCCCATAATGCTCTTGCAGCCATAACGGTGGGAAAGCATCAGAGAAGATGTAGTTCACCACATGTGGAGTGCCAAAGTTTGCCCTACCCCTGCTTTAGAATATGTAGTCATCTTCTGCAATATGAGCCAGTCATTCGCTATTTCTGCAGTCTCCGAATCACTAGTTACGATATAATGGTAATGAACGCATTTAATCTCCAGTCTCGACCACCTACATTTTACACTTCTAATCCTTATCAGCTCCAACCTAACCCACAGTAACCTTCACATTATCTGCCTAACACAAAATAACTACCAACTACTTATCCACCTAACCAAAAACAGCATACCTACACTAACGTCCACTGATTACCCACTTTACCCACAATAATCCACATTTTTCTCATAGAAACCAAAGTAGCCCACAACATACTTACTTAACCCAAATAACCATCTTACCAATTTAACCTAAGTAAGCTTCACCATACTCATCAAACCTAGAACGATCCACATATCGGGATAGTAACCTAAACCTTACACATCTAAGCCAAAACTGAATTATACACCAAATTGTGAATTTACTACCGGCTTTCATATTTTAAGTCTAAATAGCTAAATAGGAAAAAAAAAAAAAAAAATAATAATTCTCAGATCTAGTTCAGCTATTTTGGACTTGAATTTGCAGTTCTGCAGTAAATTTTCATAATTTTGGTTTATGGAATTATCCAAACATGATAAATACTAAATACAAACCTAACCAGAATTAATCCAGACCTCATACATCCAACACAAAGTAAACTATTCAATACACACACCGTAGCCAAAGTAACATACACCATATCCACCAAAAGAATTTCACAATTTATTCAGCAATTCCATTTTAATTGGGAGCCCACCACATTGCTGTCAAATAAAGAGGACCTGTTAGAACCTTGAACAATGTCGCTACGAATGTTCTGACGGAAGAACTCAGTGGATGTTATGTCCTAGTTTGCAAACAGCAAAATCCAGAACTTTAATTTTGTGCACTACAGAAGAACGAAAAGGTCAATACAAAACTGCTCTTTTATAAAGGTTATTCAAACACACAGGCCTGGGGCTGATCTGGACGGCCCGAGCGGACTTAGGTGCAGCAGAGTGCTGGATGGATCCCCGCGGTGGCCGCCTGCCCGCTGGAAAAGTGAGTGACCAAGCCTCTGGGTCTGTGGGGTCCCCGGGGTGCCAAGTCCCTGATGCCGTGGGGCGGGACTGTGCGGCCCCTCCGGTGGCCGGGGGGGTGCGTGCCGGCACCAAGTATGTGGCCGGCACTGGGAGAGACATTAGGTCACGCACTCCCCCGAGTCTTGGATGGTGATGGGGAGGTGCAGGGAGAGGGAGGCCCGTGTACTCAAGGTGTGGGAGTCGTATGGACTGCCTCTGCTCCCGAGTGCCCACAAAGCCATTGAGGACTCTGGTGATGGGCGGGGGTTGTTCCGTGGAAGACAGATGGAGACTCGGCGGCCGGGGAAATGCACGGCAGTTGTGTCATGAGAGGCCCTCACCGAACTGATAGTAAAGGGACACTCCAGGCACCCAGACGACTTCTACCCATTGGAGTGGTCTGGGTGCAAACTCCCACTATTCTTAACCCTGCAAGTGTAGTTATTGCAGTTTTTTATAAACTGCAATAATTACATTGCAGGGTTAACTCCACTTACTAGTTTCTAGCACAGGAAAGGCTATGTGAGGACTTCCAGCGTCGCTCATTTCCCCATTTTCAATGCTTTCCTATGGGGAGCCGCACAGGCGCATTAGGTATCCCCGGCCGGTGGGCGAGATCAGTCTCGCCCACTGGCTGACGCAATGCAGAGGAGGAGCGGCGGCGGAGGAGGAAGCAGCGACGAGGAACATCGTCGCTGCCTCAGGTAAGTTACTGAAGGAGGTTTTCACCACTTCAGCAACCGGGGATTGGGGGGTGGGAGGGAGAGGGGACCTGCAGTGCCAGGAAAACGGATTGTTTTCCTGGCACTGGAGTTTCCCTTTAAGGCCAGCCTGGCTCCTATATTGCTAAAAGTTTTAAAGTTCACACTATAAATTTTTTACAAATTCAGTTATATTGCATGCCTCTTCCGCAGCTCACTAGACGCAGTTATAGCACTAATAGACATGATTTACTATTGTCACACAAGGTCTGAACACTTCACTACACTTCCCCATGGGTTCGCTAACGTTACCTGCCTTACCTAAGTTTGACTAATCAATGCAACAGCACACACACATCGACTAAGATTTAGTTACTAAACATACCTTTATCAAACGCAGACCGATACACATTATCTGTTCATGATATGAAAATCTGCATCGGTAACCGCGCCTGAGTAATTAGCCTGACACATACCACATATTGCCTTTCATATTGTCATGAACACTGGAACACTGAGCCAGACTACTACTGTCTTATGTTTGCTTGATTTAGAGTTATGTATGCCAAGACATAGAAAAATCTGAAAAATCTATGCACGCTTAAATGAACCAATATACCCGCCTCTGTGCGGGCGACAATCCGCATTTATTTTCATACACCGATACCCGCGCCTCTGCGTAAGTGACCACCTGCTTTAATGAAAATATGTTTGATGCGCGAGATTATGACATGACAACAATAAAAATATTCAAAACAAACACACAGGCCTCATAGTGAAAGAAAATATGCTAGCTAACACATTTTAATCAATCACATACCTATATCACTCATATAGTATTCTATGTTACTCTAGCAGTGTTTAATGCCTATAATGTTTCATTATCGCCATCATTTTATGGAATTCTTTCTGTGTGCTGAGTTGTTTGCGTCACATGTTGGTGCAAGCAGATGTGTCTGCTATGTTATATTTGTTATTCTCAGATAATGTGTCGTGGGGTGATTCTTCAGGTAGTGATAGGTGATATTTATAATAATAAATGCAGCATAGTACCAAAATGTAGTAGTGATAAACTGTGTAATTCATGCTCATTGCAGTTTACATCTGATTGCTTAAATTGTGATCTAATGTCTCCCACTGGTTATCCAATTCTGTTACTTGTTAAAGGGACACTAAAGACCCCTGTAGCACTTCGGCTTGCCGAAGGGCTTTACATGTGAAGAGGTTGTCCTCTTTTTTTTTCATTTTACCAAAAGTGCTGATTTCAATAGAAATTGGCACTTTTATCAATTAACCTTGTGACATCCCCTGGCTTTCAAGCAGAAAACATGTAATTTTACTTTCTGGTTTGGTTAGCTCAGTGGAGTTAAATTAAACTCAAGAGGCTGCAATTGCCCAGAGCACCTGCCTTACAAAGCCTTCTGATTGAGCTGAATTGGGATAGCTGTGATTGGACAGCCACAAAAAGTCTGGGCGGGGTTAGACTAAAAGGCTTTGCAAAGGCTGCAGACAAGAGCTCTGCAGTTTTTGCAAGCTGTTTTTAGATATATTCCCAATAAAAAATGCATAATTAAATGCGTGTATGTTTTCATTAGGAATATATCTACTAAACAGTTAAGTGATTTTTTTTTTTTTTGTATATGCGCAGTAGAATGTCAATTAAATTGTGTTTCTAGCACTATTGGACCAATTTAAAATGAAGGAATTGACATTCGTTTTGTGACATAATGTATAGATAATAAAAATTACTATACCGGTACATACAATCAATACTGCTAAGTGAATATATAGATGAATCAGAAATATGATGAAACCCTTTAATATTGATAATTTGTTTTGGAAATATATTATTACAATATTTTATATATATATGCACGGGTAGAACCAATTTTGTTTATAACTTGTAGTCAAGGAAAGCGGTAAAAAAGAAATCATTATATATACATTTATAGAATTTCTGTAAGTTAATAGTTTGAGAAAATGAGAGGTAAGGTGATATAATGTATTAGAGATTACAATGTACCCTTTCTTTTACAATGCTTCTAGCAGGTTTCAGAAAAAAATTAAAATATAGCAATTTTATAATATAAGGTCAAATGCATAGTCGATGGATAGTAGCAAAGAATCTATAGGTATTTTGGTGAAGGCAGAATAAATCCTCCAAATGTCATCAGAATGTAAATATGCTTGTCACCCTCAGTTTCTCTCCATGCTTTGTCAGTGTTGAGAATTGTGTCTGGCCTCTGCCTCCACACCCCATCCTACCCACTTCCCACTGGGATACGGCAGCTGCGTGAGTTTACAAGGTTAACGTGCTGATTCTGTTTGCATGCACACCATCTGATATCAGAAATGTATGTAGCTTGGGGGTGCAGAACCTCAGTGTCCCTGTTTTTTTCCCAGTTATAGCTTTGCCCAGTGAGAAAGCAATATATACATCGGATCACAGTTAATACAAATCTAAATTTTATTTAAATTGGACTTTTCCAGGGACCCTAGCTGTCTTGCATGGAACAGCTTCTGGCTATCCAGTCCATTTCATATAGGCTGTATTTGTGCCATGTCCCAGCACTCACTGTATGGGTAGCTTTGTTTGGCAGACTTGCAGGATCTGGTTGTCACTCAATGAACATGCGTACTAGGCTAGCATGTCCACTTTCTGGGCAAACTGTGTCATTGTGATGCACATGCTACATTGGCACACCTCTACTCTGGCCCTGTTAGGTATGCTATCATGTATACAGCATATACTGTCCTGTGTACAGAATACCAAGCCGCATGTACAGCCTTTTTTTAAATCATGTAATAATACCAAATGGGATAGTTAACATGCTCCATAAGCCAGCATTAGCAATTTGTGTAAGGTTTAGCTTGCAATTCCTCTGGATCACATCCGTGTGAGTCGGAATACAAAAAAAAAAAAATGTGCATATAGGACATTAGTTATGTGTCTTAATTTTTAGAACCTGATAGTTTCTTACACCCATACTCAATTAGGCATATCCTTAAGCTCTGCATGCACGCATTTCCATCAAATACACTAAAACATGACTTTGCAATTAGGACAACTCCCCTACCTAGAATATTTAATGTGGAAGACACAGTGGCACATCCGCAAACAAGGTCTTATATCCTATTCTTTATCATGTTGTATCCTGATATCTAACACTGGGTCTTGTGAATTCATTGCACATTCATGTAACAGCTCTGCAGAAAAAGTCAGATATATGTATAATTGCAGTATAACGATCAGATTGTGCAACTAATCATCCCACTGTTTATTTTAACTTCATTACACCTTCTTACTCTATAGCACCTGTCCTGCAAATGTCACATCATTTATATAAGCGAGGTATATAAATAGATAAGGCTTCCCTCTTCCTTTACATCCATCTTCCCTGTGACTACACTGCACATGTATCGTTACCCCACATTCCTATTGGAGACGTATCTTCAAATCTGCCTGCTATTTATTTTTATTTTTGCATGAATTACTTGTTTAGCCATTGTATAGCACTAATGTTACTGAATTAAAAAAAAAAAAAATAACAACATGCATATAACAATCTGAAGACCTCTGATTATTACAGTAATAAACCAAAAAAAATAAACATTTCAAAGGTCTCCAAAGCATCTATAATTTCACGGAATATTTATTGGCTTGTAGAGACTTATACCTCCAACTTTCTGTCTTGAATTTTCTGCTTTCTTAGTGCGTCTCTCTAATCCGTTGTTTGTTTATGGGTACTATAAATATCCAACCAGAGGAAAAGACAATTTATTCATGAAGACACAAATCCTCTAATTGAAGAGGAAATTAAGAGTAACCAGACACAACTATCAGAAAATAGCAGAGAATTAAAAGAATGATATCGCTGTGTTTTTCTGTTTCTTTGTGCGAATTGTAAGTTTATTAACGAGCATGTCTTTTTACGAGGCTTCAAAGGAACAACAAAAAAAAGTGTAAGGATCAATTTGCCTCAATACAATTTCACTTTGCAGGTCTGGATTTCCTTCTTCTTATCAATGGTTTGGTGGGAGAAAAAAAAAAATCGTAATCGTTTGCTCAGATTTCAATAAAAAAACATTAAAAAAAAAAAAATTATTTGCTCAACATGTAGGAATTGGTAGTGAGCAAATATATTTTTACATCCACTAAATCCAGATGACAAGATGATGGAATTTTCCTCTCTTTTTATTTTATTTTGGAAATTCTTCAGAATATCCTGATCTCATAAGGGAGAGAAATAAAACGTATAGGTTTCAGCCAAAAATCACATTTGAGATGCTGGGATTCGCAGTGTATTCCAAATTCCCTATAGGATCGGAGGCCTGATCCGTTATAGATTTCCTTGATACTTCATGGTTCCGTCAATCCAAAAGGATGATACCTTTTTAGAAAAAAAAGAAGCTGAATGAAAAGAAATTGAGTTTTGTACGACAGAAAATTTCTCAATGTCTCTCTGTATCAAATCAGTGACCACGTTCTATCTCCGCACAGATACAATCACTGTTTCCCCTGCAGCTCCCCCGTGGGATTAAGCAGAATAAGAGAATAATTCTGGGACTGCATGAAAATGAATTATATACCTATCCTTGGGGAAATTGTAATTGTGGTCAAATTTTCAGGACGCCAATTAAATAGGATGCAGAAACAGCTGGGACCTTCTGCTGCGAATGGGATTCTACTTTTAAGATCTTCCTTCTTTATAGGATTTTTCGTAGGCCCGTGACCCTCCTTTATAGCATCCTGTCCTTGGTCCAGAGGGGTCGTCTTCCTCTGCTTCGAAAGATCTGCCGCTTTCTAATGTCTGGAGCAGCAAACAGCTGTAATGTTTATTACGAATTCATATGATTTCTTAAGGTCTTTTTCTCCCAAATATCAGCAGCCCTGCTCTTGCAGAGGCTGCAGGATCAGTACAATGACAAGACCCAAACCTATTCCAACCCCCCCCTACACATCTCCCATCATGTGATCCTGAAAGAACAATTCCATTGGTCTTTTAATAATAGGGTCTGCGTCATTGCTGGGAGGTGATGTCACCTATCCATACAGCAATTGGCTGCAGGCATGCTGGATTTAAAGGGACAGCTGCCTCTAGGTAAAAGGAGATGCATTGAGAAGGATGATTTAGCTTGTAAATGTATAATTTGAATTTATTGCTGTAATTATTATTGTGTGTATGTGCTTGTTAACATAATGTAACCTGTACATTTCTGCTTATGTTACTGCATGTGCTATGTATTTATTTGTGTTATGTATATATTATGTATTTATTTGTGCTTATTATTCTACTACCTTGCATATATAAATTATGAATGTAGTTGAGCTATTTTTGCTTGTAAAATATAAGGGGAAAGACTCCCAAGCACTAGCGTGTGAATTTGTGTGTTAATATTATATATATCAAATAATATAATTTAATGTTAGATCTCCAGAGTGTAAGCTTGTGTGAGCAGGGTCCTCTACACCCTCTGTTCCTGTGCGTCCAACTTGTCTAGTTACAAATACTTGTCTGTTAGTCCACCTATTGTACTGCGCTGCGGAATTTGTTGGCGCTTTACAAATAATAATAATAACAAACACATTCCATTGGCACTTAATGGGTTAATCATGTGTGTGAGTGTGGGTGAAATTCTATATGTATCAGAAACATGACATTTTGGTTAGTCAACAACTTGCATAAAATGGAAGAAATTCTATATGGAAGTAGTTCCTGTGTGGGCATCAACTTACATATAATCTTTTGATTTTTAGGTTGAATGAGTCAGTTATTATGAAATTGATAAATGTATTACACATGTGATAAAACCTAAATAATACAATATGTTGTGTATCTCATGATATTATATAAAATATTTCAGATATATATATAGGGGGCACAGTAAATTGGACCTGCTATGATTATATTGCAGGGTTAAATACACCTCTAGTGGCTGCCTTCCTGATAGCCACTAGAGGTACTTCCTCCTCCAGAACCGAGTTAATAGCTGATAGCAGCATTTGATTGGAGGATCGCTGCGTTTGACTGCGCATGTCTATTTCCAATCATTGGCTTCTCTATGAGAATCACTGGATTGAAGGCTGATGTCTTTGAAAGCAGAGTGGGCAGCTGCAGCAGAGGAAACAAGGTAAGTATTCTTAACATTAACATTTCAATTTTTTAATAATTAAGGGGGTGGACAGACGGGAACCTATAGTCTTATTTTTATGATCATAGGTTCCCTTTTACTTCTTAAATTCCAACCCCTGGATACATAGGTTTCCTATTTAAGGGGGCCATACACATTATCTCTTTTTAGTGGGCATGATTGATGCAGTAGCACAAACCTTTTAATTAACAGAGCGTAAGGGTTTCATTTTTGGCAAATTTCTACAAATAGTAAACAGATTGTAGTACTTAGCAGAAGGTGTGTGTCTATGTTTAGAGTTGGTATTTGTATATAATTTTAGCATTTTAATACAGGTTTTTTTTTTAATGTTAAGCTTGCATTTTCGTGCAATAGTGTGTTTGGATGTAGTGCGGATGTACATTTGTGTGTATTGGTGTTTGAGTGAAGGGTGTGTTTAAATGTTTGTATATAATTTTAGAGTTGGAGTTCAGGGTTGTCTTTGTGTGTCATGTTTGTGTTTGCAGAGGTGTGTTTTCATGTTGTGCTGGTGTTTGATTGCTGGGATGTCTGCACATACACACAAACACAGATTTACATACATATTAACAAACAGAAACACACATAGAACACACTGACACACATTGATACACACACTGCACATAAACACATTGATACACAGATACACACACTAGCACATACACACATACTGACAGATACACTGACACAAAGATGCACACTCTGGGACAAATATATACACACACTGGTACATACACACACACAGATACACACTGGCACATACACACACTATGGCACAAAGATATACACACACTGACACACAGATACACACACTGGTAGATACACTCACACAGATATACACGCTGGCACACAGACACACTGGTACATACACACATGCTGGTACATACACACAGAGACAGATACACTGACACACACTGGCACATACACACACTGACACACATATACACATAAACACACATTGACACACAGATACACACACTGGCACATACACAAACAGATACACACTCTAGCACATACACACAGATGCAGACATTGTCACACAGATAAACACACTGACACACAGATACATACAGTGACACAAACACAGATACACACAATGACACATACACAGTTACATACAGGTATTTGCAGTCACCATCCTGTCAGATTACATTTTTCCTGCAGGAGGGTGACTTGCTTGGAGTGCTGCAGGCTGCTGGCTGAGGCTGGTGTGCTGCTCACTCTACCCGTGACACGCTGTCAATTCCTCCCAGCATCCCATGCTACAGGGGCCAGTCACGGTCTTAAACGGCTGTGGTGCCCTGTTCAGTGATACCGATTGGATGGCCATAAATGATTGGGCCCACCCGATCGGCAAATTGCTGTGCAACCCAATTTTGTTCTTGTGGAACCCTAGGGTTCCGCGGAACACCAATTGGGAAATGCTCGTATAGACAATCTCTGCAGGCATTTTAACGTAAACACTGCCTTCTCAGAGAAAAGGCATTTTTTACATTACTGCCTAGGAACACCTCTAGTGGCAGTCACTCAGATGCTCTGTAATGAGGCGCTGAACTTTCCACACAGAGATGCATTGAGTGAATGCATCTCTATGAGGAGATGCTGTTTGGCACAGCGTTTTTGCCGCACATGGGCGATAGCCTTTCTATGCCTTTTTTATTGGAAAGCATTGGATTGGATGAGATAATCAAGTTTGATGATCCCAGCCAAGGGGGCAGAGCGTGGGCGGGGCCAGCCATAACCGGACCTGCCTGGAGCTGGCAGAAGGTGAGTTTAACACCTTTTTAACTTGAGGTTAGGGGGGGATTTAGGGGGATAAACAGCTGTTTAGACCTATAGTGTCAGGAATATACATTTGTATCACTGACACCATAGTGTTTCTTTAATAAATGCTCCTCTGTCACATGGCAAGTAGGTAATTGAGCACTTGCCCTGCTACACCAATGGGCAACTAGAGGCCGCATCTCCCCAGAGACCAACAACAGGCGGCATAACCTTGTAACTGCTTCGCACTTATAGCGCTGACCATCTGTCACAAGCTGTGGCAAAAATGAAACAACAGGAGTCGGAAGACAAGCAAACAAAACCATCTCAATGGTGTCAGGGAGAGTGGGACATTCTTCATCCTTGTTGCTCTAGTGCAACATTTCCCCAATTAGTGTTCCGCAGAATGCTTGGGTTCCGCAAGAATAAAACTGGGGTTCCACCGTGATCTCCCCACATCTAAGATGGCAGCTGCTCCCTGCTGTTTCTGGAAGACGGAAACTGCAGAGATCACGAGACCGCAATCTTATTCCTGCTCGCCGTCAGCCATTTCAGACTCACTCAGTTTGTTGTAAGCATTGATGCAGGACGGGCCTGTGTAGGAACCCTTTTTCTTTCAGGCTCAGCTATTCTTGTTGCATCAGTCATCAATGTCAATCAGCAGTGGCTAAGGCCAGTAAGGTATTGTCATGCATGTAAAAGGGCATTCATTCTCGGGACAAGAATATCATTTTGCCTCTTTATATATCACTGATTAGACCACACCTTGAATATGCTGTGCAATTTTGGGCACCTGTTCTAAAGAAGGATATTATGGCACTAGAAAAAGTGCAGAGGAAGGTTACAAAATTAATAAAAGGAATGGAACATAGCTATGAAGAAATTTAAACCTCTTTAGTTTAGAAAAACGTTGCCTCAGAGGGGATATGATAATATTATACAAATATATTCGGGGCCAATACAAACCATTGTGTGGAAATCTATTCACAAACCGGACTTTACATAGGACACGAGGTCATGTGTTTAGACTGGAAGAAAGAAGATTTTGTCTAAGGCAAAGAAAAGGTTTTTTTACTGTAAGAACAATAAGGATGTGGAATTCTCTGCCTGAAAAAGTGGTTTTGTCAGAGCCCATACAGATGTTCAAACAGCAACTAGATGCATACTTGCAAAAAACAGAATATTCAAGGATATAATTTTTCAATGTAGGGTAATAGCCTCTTGACCCAAGGATAAATCTGACTGCCATCCTAGGGTCAAGAAGGAATTTTTTTCCTAGTTTGTTGCAAAATTGGAAGTGCTTCAAATTGGGGGGGTTTTTTTGCCTTCTTTTGGATCAACAGCAAAACAAATGGGAAGAAGGCTGAACTTGATGGACGCAATCTCTTTTCAGCTATGTAACTATGTAACTATTACTTTTTCACAAAGTTGGTACACAATGTCAAAGGGTTCCACGGAAAAAATGAATTGGGAACCACTGCTCTAATACAAAGTGTGAGTCACCTCCTCAGCCCCTTTTTGAAACTTTGTATCGTAAGCTTTAGCTAACCAATCAGTGATCGCTGTCTGAACCTTCCTGAGAGGTACAAGTGTTTTTGTTTTTTTTATTATAAACTGCAGTAACATAATCTGCCCGTGTGTGAAGAAACAACTGTAAGTAAACATAATATTAAATAATAAAAAGTAATATTATAATATAATAATAATATTATTAAGAAGAGATAATATAAATATTCCTGGAAAGTGTCCAGTCCCCATTACAGGGAGTGCAGAATTATTAGGCAAATGAGTATTTTGACCACATCATCCTCTTTATGCATGTTGTCTTACTCCAAGCTGTATAGGCTCGAAAGCCTACTACCAATTAAGCATATTAGGTGATGTGCATCTCTGTAATGAGAAGGGGTGTGGTCTAATGACATCAACACCCTATATCAGGTGTGCATAATTATTAGGCAACTTCCTTTCCTTTGGCAAAATGGGTCAAGAAGGACTTGACAGGCTCAGAAAAAGTCAAAAATAGT